CAGGGGAATGGGGGAGCAAGGAGGGGATGGGGACTGGCAGTGGTCCCCGCCATGGTCCCCCACTCCCACCCCTACTTACCAGCTCTGAGTCCAGCTGCAGCCGCCGGGACTGTCTGAAACATCGAAGCTCTCCGAATCTTTTCTGAAGATTCAGAGAGCTTCGAATCGATTCAGACCTTTTAATTGGTCCCCTGATTCGATTTGGTTTCAGCCATCGAATTGGGCCAAATCCCAAATCTCGTCCAAATCGAATCACCACCTGAAGCTTCGCACAACCCTAATTGATACCCTTTATATGCTTTAGTTAGCGACTGAAAATCTCATTTTTGTTTTAATTTAGGTAACATCATTGTACAAGAAAGATCTCCGAGATTATTTACATAAGCAAAACCTTGGCTCATCATTAACAGAAAATAAAGAGCTTCTTTGTGAGCATAAGGAAATGGAATTCAAAGCTAAGGTAAGAAAAGTGAAAAATACTAAATGAAACAACTGAAAAAAGGAAATATCACAATTGTATATATGCATATATGTATACATCTCAATTTATACATGGTGCAGGTGAATACTCTATCTATTTGTGTTTGTATAAGGCCCTTGCTACATGTTACATATATTACACAATTAACTGGCTAATTATGCAATCAGTTTAGACCAGCCACACATGCAAAGTAATTATCACACAATTAACTGCATAATCACACAATAAATTTAAACCAGCCACACATGCAAAATAATTACCACACAATAAAAATGACTATCCATCTATAAAAAGAGCAAGCCAGTTATAAAGTTGCATGTTCAAAATATATAACAACTATATAACTGGTTTCTATCCAGCTTTAATTTGAATGTATAGCAGGGCCCTGAGAGAGGTATTTTCAACATGAGTTGTGTTATACATACAATACTCTTGGTTCTTTTTTCATTTCCTAAACTTTATTGCATTAATATAAAGCAATGGGAAAGTAATTTTATACATTGTTTAATTATTATTATACAATCTGATGGTCAGATAACCACGCTTTTAATTTATAAATAAAAGCAGAGGCTTTGTGACAAATTTTAAAGGCTAAAGGGGAAGCAAATAGAACAATTCAAGAGAGTTTTGATAACAGTAAAATTTGGAAGTCAATTATTATTACAGTCATGCCTTTTCAGTGAAATTTGATTTAAACACAGTGAATGGAACTTACGTTTCAATGGGAATTTTCAGTTATATATTTTAAATACACTCTCTTCATGCAAGGGTTGCATTCCAAAAAAACCTTGCATAAAGCAAATTCACATAAAGTGAATCCATTATTACATGTAATTAATAGGGATACATACCAGCCTCACTCTACTGCCCCCACAAACCATGACAGATTCAAGCAGTAATCACACAATACGGTAACTGCTGCATGGAGAGGCTGTGAGCTTCGCTCTGCAAGCAGCGGCATGTGCAAGGGGTGCATCGCCAGGGCAGCGCGGGGCAGGTGGGAGACGCACCAGGGAGAGGGAAGCAGGTTGGAAGGGAACGCTTGGCTGCTCACTGCTCCTGGATCTGCCCTGCTTCCCTTCCCCAGGTGCCTCTCCAATCCAGCAGGCACAACCTGGAGCAGCTGGGAAGAGGGGCTGCGCGGAGAGGCTTTGAGCTTCCTGCTGCACTGGGTCATACCCACCGGGCTACAGAGGTTTGTGGGCAGGGAATAGAATAGAACCTGGCTGATAGGACAGACATGCTTTTTGCAAAAAGACTTTGTTCCTCTATAAGATTCATTTGTTCAGTTCCTGTTGCTGTTACAGTTTATTTAAGTGTTATCATTTATAGTTATCCATTCATCCACGCTCATAAGTAATGGTTGACAATTTCAATGCTGCAATGTATGCAAAATAAAATACTCTTCTAATGCCTCTCCTAAGTATCCCAGTTGTTGTTTTGGTTTTTTGCGGGGGAGAGGGGTTATTCTAGAAAGCCTTGTTCCTCTAAAACTGTATAACTGCATTCTCCTATTGAATACATGTTGCTCTGGACTCTTAACAATGATGGTGTGAAAAAGTGATGACAAATTTTCAGGGTATTTCCAAACAAATAGTGACCTGCTAGGAGCGGTTGATGACCTGACATATCTTTGATTCTCTCTGTATCCAGATGATGATTAAGCCCCAGGAAAGTCCCTGCTCTGAGGCTGTCCTTACAATTTAGTCTTTGAACTGAAAAAAAAAATCCCATGACTACACTTTAAAAAATACAGACATCTTCATTTTGTACAGTAGTAGAATCACATGCAAGGTTGGGGTCACTGGAAAGCACTTTAATAATAATCATTATTGACTTATTTTAGTAATTTTGCATCCATATGTTAAGTAATTAAGTTGTTCATATCAACTCATGGTATCTTATTCTTTTTATATGGCTATTTTAAAGCATCATTTAGCTTTGGAAGCTATTGTTACAGAGCCATGCAAATTATGGCTTAGTACAACTTACATTTATCCTCCCATTGATTTTATTAGCAGCATGGTCTAGCTCAGGAAAATGAACTTTGCAGACTGAATCTTGCTGGAAACATATGCCTATACTTACAATGTGAAATGTAGGCACAGAAGCCAACTTGAACTGCACACTGGAAATGTATTGCAGAAAGTTGAATTACAGTTCTGGGTAGGTTACTTTGTCATACCGCTACTATGCTCATATTAAAAGCAGAAGGAAAGGGAGTCCCAAGTTTCAAATAAAGTGCATCAATTTAATAATTATTCTAATAAACATTGCTAGAAAGGCCAAGCTTTATATTAAATATTTTCATTAGACATGCTGATTTTTTGGCCTCAGATCTAGAAACAAAAGCTGATGAACTTAACAGTCTAATTCACAGGCTAAGTAAAATTGGAATAAAGCAAATATTCAATGCATGTGGAAGACGAAAATAGCATAGAACCCCTGTTGGCTATTCCACAGGGAAGCATACTTGCACCTTAATCCTCCAGTCACTCATTTGTTGTTAAATGCCCTGTCTGAGGTAATTTTACTATATTTTATCTCCAAACTATATTGAATCTCTTTAATAAGGTGGCAGATGCATTTCTATATAACTCTGGAGCCACTAAATCAGAGTTCTGAAGGAGTAATCAAAAAGCCCCAAATCCTTATTGGTTCATGTGCACCTGTGTGCATGTGTCTATAAAATATATGAGATAACATGCAAAATATATAGCAGAGGCTTAGTGCTATATAATATGAACCTAGGCTCTTACAACTGTTTAAATCCTTATTAAATTCTACCATTTGATATGGTCTCAGCCTTGAATCTCTACAAGGGCAGATTTTGACAGTCTCCAAATTCTGATGCTTTGCATTGTGAAAATTTTAAATTTTGACTGTACACATTATCATGTTAGGATTACATTTGTTTCATCATGACAAATTATGTTTATCTTGCCATTATATTGGTAGCAGCTGTAGAGACAGCTCTGAAGTGTGGGCAGATGACCACATCATGTCCATTAAGAGAAGAAGCCTTACTCTTTGAATTGAAGCAACTGTTGTTACTTGTCTGCTCCTGTCTCTGTAAGTCAAAACTAAACCCTGGTAACTTAGTTCTGTTTTTTTCAAGGGCAAGTTTCACTTACTATCCCAGGACAACAGGACCGTCTTAAATAAGACACCTGTTTACAGCCCAAGTCATCCCTTCTGTTAACTCTGTAACTTGTTCATGTGTCCAGGCTCTAATAATGTTTCCAACTATAGTAACAGCAATTACTGTAATAGAATTATCTCTTGAAAAGATACAGTCATCATTATAATTAAGCCTTTATTGTCTGGCTTCCAAAATAGTAGACTCAAAAGTTATTACTCAGGTTATAGCGTAGGTTATTATTTAATCAGACATCCTTTGTTAGTACTTCAGCTACTTTTAACTATCTATTTATAGAAATAATTTCTCTTTCACCAGGAAATTCCCAGATTCATAAATCTTGTATCTTGTAATTGAGCTGCAGCTTATTTCTGTGAGACTTTTGTCTATTAGATTAAAGCAGCTTCTGCAGTTGCAAATATTCTCCTCTCATAGGTCCTTGTAGACCATGATCTAGAAACCTCCTAATGTTTTATTTCATAAACTAGGTAGGGAACTTAGCAAACTCATTCATTTTGAGGCAGGTTTTCTATACCTCAAATAATTCTTGCAGCAATTTTAATAAACCCTTTCCAATTTTTCAACCACTGTTCTAAAGTGTGACTTCAAGGACTGGACTCAGTATTCCAGGGGCAGAGAGAGGTGGTCTGTCTCAGTAGACCACTAATGGTCTCCTTTGTGCTATGTAAAGACAAACGCTACTCCTTTAATTCAGCTCCTTGTCCTGCTTATATATCCTCAGAGGACATGTGCACTTGGTCATCCACCATGACCCTTAAGTTCAGAGTCACTGTTTCCTAGGAGGCAATCCTTCATTCTGTATGTGACCTTGTTCTTAGATATATGACCCTGCAATCGGCTGTAAAGGAAACTGGATGTTCAAATGTTCAAATGAGTCCACCTTATGAGGGATCCACATTAATCTCTATTAACTGACCCATTTATTATTTAACTCTCCACTATTTTTGTCATTTTCAGGCTTTATAACGCATTTTAATTCCTTCCAAATCACTTATAAAGCTACTGAATAGCATTGGAGTAAGAACAAAAAACAAAACAAAAGAAAAAATCCCCAAGACAGCAGTACAGAAAATATACAGGGCTAGCAGTTTAACCAGCTTTCTGTAAGATCAGTGTTTTCCCTGAAAAAAATTGTGCTGAATTCACACTGAAACAAAGTTACAGTGTACAAGATCACTTTCAAGTGCTACTGCTACCCAACATAATGTGCTTTTGAGGAGATGGCCGGCTCTCCTCCTCATGGAGCAACATTTTGCAAGAAAGCCTGCTACTAGGTGTTCAAATGGAGAGGTGATTGCATTTTCTGGAAGAGGAGCTTTGAATAGTGTAAATTCCAGTCAAGAGTATTTATTTAGCAAAATTTACTTGTCACATACTCAGCTTTTTGCCACACACATTGTACATGGAGTTATTTGGATTGTTTTCAGTCTGATTAATTATTACTGTGTTTCACTCTCATATTAGTCTTTGATTAGCCTGATGCTTGAACTAAGGATTTATTATGCACCCTGACCCTTTTGTGAGTACTAGGTGACAAAATTGTAAAATACTTGTAAAAAAGAATGGCTTTAATAAATCGAGCTCAAGTTTTCTGACGTGATTACTAGGCAAACCTTGGAATCTATAAAATACTATGTAAGACTAAGGAATTGCTGCATATAATCTAATTTAAACAGAGAGATATCTGAAGCCAAAAAGTCTCAGAGCAGAAATTAATTTCAAATCTCTGAATAATAAAACAACCATATTAATGTTTGCTTCAAAATTCTACATTCATTTTAGTGAGCAATTTGTTGTATATGCTGATTCTTTAATGCTG